TTATCGCTCATTCTCTTTCTCTCGCTGTTCGCAGTGTTCATCCAACTTGACGTTTCTAATTGTGGAACATTCTACGTCATTCCTCGAACATTCTGCCTATTTCTCGTTGTTCGCTTTGTGTTGCCGCAGTATTCGCCACACTGCCCTCCACCTAAGTCTGATCGTCCCGATCAGACACACTTGCGGTTCCAAACGCTGCAAGCCTTTCCAAGTGCACCACCTTCATCTTGTTTCTTGGTCTCCCAACGGTCTGGATCCGATACACTACGTCATTTAGCCGTTTTACGACCTTATACGGACCTTCCCAGTTGCATTGAAGTTTTGGGGACAAACCTTTCTTTCGTTGTGGATTGTGCAGCAACACCAAATCTCCTTCCTGGAAACCCTCGGAATTCATCGCCTTATCATACCTGGCTTTCATCTTGTCACTCATAATTTGTGTGCGCTGTCTCACAAGGGTATCCGGACATCCCAATCTTTTTGATTCTTGTCCACGACCTTCCGCAAATGCTCTTCCAGGGTTCGGTTGAACCGTTCCACCATGCCGTCTGATTGGGGATGAAGAGCCGTCGTTCGAGTTTTCCGGATACCCAGTATCTGGCACATCTCTTGGAACACTGCCGACTCAAAATTTCTTCCCTGGTCAGAGTGCAGCTCTATAGGCACACCGTATCTCGCAACCCAATTGTAGGTGAATACCTCCGCTACTGTTTTAGCTTCCTGGTTTGGAATCGGGTATACCTCCGGCCATTTGCTAAAGTAGTCCATAACCACAAGGACGTATTTGTTTCCCTGTGAGCTCATAGGAAATGGACCGGCTACATCCATGGCAATCCGCTCGAAAGGTGCACCTGAGTTATATTGCTTCATCTGGCCATGACTTCTGGATTTCGGCCCCTTAGCTGCAATACACTCCGCGCAGTTAGCAATCCACTCTGCGACCGATTGCCGACAACCAACCCAATAGAACCTCTGCTTAACCTTCTCCAGGGTCTTCGTGATTCCCAGGTGCCCTCCACTAGGACCATTGTGGAATTCCTTGAGTACATCCGGAATTCTTACCCTTGGAACTACTATCAGGTTGCGGGAGCACTGGCCATCTTCGCTTTCCCATACCCTATGCAAACAGCCAGATGTTAATTTTAAGCTGTTCCATTGTGCCCAGTACGCCTTTGCGATGGGGCTTTCCGCTGTCATTTGCTCCTTAGTTGGCCTCCTGTCCACCTCCAGTCCATGCATCAAAAGCTCCAGATCTGGATCTTCCTGCTGACACTTTCGTAGCTGTTCTTCCTTCCACTCTTCCGCTGGTGTTATTGTCGTTAGACGGACGTCTATAATGTCCTCTTTTCCCTCAGCTTTTGAGCAGTGTTTACATTCCAGGCTACATGGTCGGCGGGACATGGCATCAGCATTACCGTGGACACTTCCCTTGCGGTGCTCAATAGCGAAGTCATAACTTTGCAGTCTCTCAATCCACCGAGCTAGCTGTCCTTCTGGATTCTTAAACTGTAGTAGCCACTTCAGCGCTGCATGGTCCGTTCGAACTCGGAAACGTTGCCCATAGAGGTACTTGTGGAAATGTTTGACGCAGTCCACCAACGCTAGTAGTTCTCTCCGAGTTACGCAGTAGTTCCTCTCTGGTTTTCCAATCGACCGGCTATAGTAGGCAACTACCTTTTCCTGCCCATAAATTACCTGCGACAGTACGCCTCCTATGGCATAACCACTAGCATCCGTATCCAAAATAAACGTTGCACCTGGAACGGGATACGCTAGCATAGGTGCAGTACATAGTCGTTCCTTCAGAGTCTGGAAAGCCTCCTCCTGCTCCTTGTTCCACTCGAAGGCTCTATTTTTCCTAGTGAGCTCGTGGAGGCTATTAGCAACGCTGGCGAAATTCGGAACAAATCGGCGGTAGTAGGTGCATAGCCCAAGAAAACTTCGTAATTCGTGCAGGTTCCTAGGTCTTGGCCAATCCTTTACTGCTTCTATCTTTTCCTTCGCAGTACAGATGCCCTCCGTTGTCACCTTGTGCCCTAAGTAGTTCACCTCCTTCCTGAACAGTGAGCACTTTTTAGGACTTAGCTTCAGACCAGCGCCAGCTATCCTCTGGAAAACTTCTTCCAAATTGTTCAGGTGCTCCTCAAAGCTTTTACCCAATACGATAATGTCGTCTAGATACACCAAACATGTTTTCCAATGCAGTCCTTTGAGCACATGGTCCATAAGTCGTTCAAAAGTGGCAGGAGCGTTGCATAATCCAAAGGGCATCACCGTGAATTGCCACAGACCGTCTCCAACGCTGAAAGCTGTCTTCTCCTTATCCTCGTCACTTACCTCCACTTGCCAATAACCGCTCTTAAGGTCGAGTGTTGAGAACCACTTTGTTCCAGTCAACGAGTCCAGAGTGTCATCGATCCTGGGAAGAGGATAGCTGTCCTTTTTCGTCACATCGTTTAGTTTCCGGTAGTCTACGCAGAACCGCATTTGACCATCCTTCTTCTTCACAAGTACTACCGGCGAACTCCATGGACTCGCTGATGGTTCAATCACACCACTCTCGCTCATTTCGTTTATTATTTGGCTAACAGTTTCACGTTTGGCAAGTGGAACACTCCGAGGAGCTTGACGGATTGGCCTTGCATCGCCAGTATCAATGCGATGTTTCACAACGTTAGTCCTACCTGGTTTGTCGCCATCCTTGTCGAATATGTTGCAGTATCTTCGGAGAAGTTCCTTAGCCTTGTGCTGGTATTTTTCTTCCAACCCTTCCGTCCATGCATTAATGTCTTCCGCAATGCCATTCTCGCCAATGGAATCGCTTTCAGGTAACTTTTCGCAGTTGAAGATTGCCTCTACCTCTCGACATTGCCCCAGTACAGTTCCTCTTCGGAGTTTGACTGGTGATTTGAACTCATTGAGCACTCGAACTGGGATGCGTCCATCCTTTTGCGTCTTAGCCAGGGTTTTACCAATAAGTACGTCCGGTGTAGAATTTTGTGTCGCTTCAACAACCCACAATTTGTTTGTCCCACAATCTCCATCAATCTTTGCCCACACAACTGCTTCTGACTTCGGTGGAATCTGCTCGCTTTCCTCTAGGATCACTCGCTTGCTGCTGTACGGACCATCATTCCATGTTGTCGTACGTCATGATCCTGTTCTTCATGTCGATCTTCATACCTTGACCAAATAAAAAGTCTAATCCAATGATGACTTCATCCATAATCGCCGCGACTATGAACTTGTGTAACACCGTCACATTCCCTATTGCGACTTTGCATGTTACCTCTCCTACAACTTGGGTGTCCTCACCAGTTGCTGTCTTCAACCTTGCTCCAGGTAATGGCCTTACCTCTTTAGTGACCAAATCAGATCGAATGATGGAATGTGATGCGCCCGTATCCACAGTTAGTACTCGCTCATGTCCGTCCACATATCCACCAACAGTAACGTTGCTCGCTTTTCCGCCAATTCTCGAGACGGAGATTATGGGGCATTCAATTGCGGGAGCCAGCGTGCGCCCCTTGCTGCTGGCTCGTTTTAGTTTAACGACTGGTCGGAGTTGGGCTCGTCATCCTCAGTCCTGCGTTTACGTGCTGCTGAACTGTTGGAACCCGTCTTACATTCGCGTGCGAAGTGGCCTGGTTTTCCGCAACTAAAACATTTTCTAGCACCATCCTTCCTCTCGGTTGCACCAGGAGTATTCTTCCCTGCCATCGACTTGAGTGTTTTCAGGATCTCGTTCATCACTTCAGGTGTTTCCACTTCTACTCGATGGGCTTTGTAGGCTGGTCTACTTAGGAGCGCTGCCGTTTCACGTGTCTGAGCATACGAGACCGTTTCAGCAAATGTTGGCTTTGGATTTGCATACGTCTCGCGCTTGGTATACACGTCCCGCATTCCGTTGATGAACCTCTGGATTTTTACTCTTTCGAGGTGCTCACCAGATGCATCTCCAATTGCCAAATGAGCCAACCTTTCAACCTCGGAGGCGAATTCTTGTAGAGTCTCGTTGGATTTCTGGCAGCGATTCTCCAGCTCCATCTGGTAAATCTGTCTCCTGTGCTCGCTACCATAACGTCTTTCCACTGCACCCATTAACGCATCGTAACTGTTCCTTTCACAATCAGGAATAGTCTGCAAGATTTCCGCTGCAGGTCCTTTTAATGCAACGAACAGTGCAGCGGATTTATCCTCCATGCTCCAGTGATTTGCTGTAGCTGTCTTCTCAAACTGGAGCTTAAAGACTTGGAAAGGAATCGTGTCGTCAAAGGATGGAGTCTTTACCTTGGGCGCGCTGGTCGAAGAAGGTGGGCGATTCAACTGCATATCTCGGAGGCGACCTTCCAACTCTTCTACCTTAGCCTCGACTTTATCCTGTCTATCCTTGATTTGTTCGTTATCTCTAGCCAAATTCTCCTGCAGTTGTGTAATCTTTGCATCCTGGACTTCCAGCAACTGTGATACGTGTGTCTTCTGTGCCTGTAGCTGCGACGAAATATCTGACAACTGTGTTTGCATCTGAGATGACATCTGTGACATGGCAGCCAATAACGTGTTCATGTCCATAGCTGTTGATGAACTTGGAGACTTTTGCTGTTCTTCAATCTTCCCGGATGTCTGCTGCACATCCTTCGACGAACAAGCAGCCTCATCCTTCTGTTCGTCCTTTGCGGATGCATCGTCGGATTTACCCTGGAAGTCGTATTTGTCCACGTCGATGCCTTCAGCTTCCATAGCCTCCCGCAAACGGGATAATAATTCTACTTTTCTTCCGGAGGTGGCCAAATTACGCTTTTCCAACTCCTGTTTCAGTTCCTCAATCTTTAAGTCCTGAATTTTCGCCATTTTCAGTAGTTTATCCTTCGGGATTTATTTAACAATCCCACTTCTGACACCAATTGTTAAGGTATTGGCCCAATGCACGCTTGCTTTGCTTGCTTTGCTTACTTTAGTTTGCTTTGCTTTACTTTGAAGGCTTTTATGGCCTAATGGTAGCTTTGAACGCTGTCATAGTAGTCAGCTGATTTTCAATGCGCGCAAATATACCCGCCATTCTTTGTTGTGCCAGCAAGTATAATTGTGAATTTTAGTTAAAATATATCTTATTAAACAATTATTTGTTACTAAGAACATTATTTTTTACAGATACCTTGCTTTTTTATCGTTCCGGTTTTGGTGAAGCTGCATTTGGCTGCGCCACTCACCACCCGTGTTTATAAGACGTAATATTCAATTGGAGGTAAAAGAGTTTATATTAAACAATTATTTGTTGCTAACAACATTATTTTTTTTCAGATACCTTGCTTTTTATCGTTCCGGCCACCAGATTCGTTGGTTTTCATAAAGTTTCATTTGGCAGTACAAAATGTTGACTCGAAATGCTGAACAAGTTTTGAGAATTTTCCTAATTTTAGCGAAAATGCGTAAATTAAAACTGCGATTAAAATAGAAGCGCCGATTTTGGGTTCGGAAATTGTACTTAGAGCGACACAAATATGGATTGTTTGAAAGTTCATTAAGAAACTTGGCTGCAGATGAGGAGCAGTTTAACAAGACATTAAGAATGCCCTTTTCGTTATTTAATGTGCTGCACGAATTTCTGGAGGCTTCGCTGACCAAATATTCAATCAGAACACCAATATCGAGCCGCTGCAGACTATTTATAACCCTGATGTAAGAGAAAATCGGTTTTACTTAATAGTATACGTATAATTTTCCATATATGTATCTGGGTTTATTTTTTTGTTGCAGATATTTGGCTCACGGTGGCACTCGGCAATTCCACACAATAGTTCACAGGATCGGCCTGACGACTTTCAGGAAGATTACGTTGGAGACATGTATGACCATATGGGATCTGTTAGCTGACCTGTATGTGGCGACCCCGTCAGAAACGGAATGGGGACGTATTTCCAATGAGTTCAAGTCGCTGTGGAATATGCCCAACTGCGTTGGTTCCATCGACGGAAAGCACATTAATATTACCTGTCCAGCGAATTCAGGGTCGATGTACTATAATTACAAAGGCAATTATAGTATCGTGCTTTTGGCCGTATGTGATGCCAATTATACCTTTACCTGCGTTGACATCGGAGCATATGGAAGTCAAAGCGATGGCGGTGTCTACCACTTTTCAAAACTGGCAGATGCTATTGAAAATGATAGGCTCGGCCTTCCACATGATCAGCCTCTGCCAGGAGAAACCGAGCCATTTCCACATTATTTAGTAGGAGATGCTGCTTTTCCCTTACGGCGTTATTTAATGCGACCATATCCGGGTAGAGGTATTCCAGAAGAGCAAGAGTATTTCAATAAAAGACTCTCTCGTGCAAGAAGAGTTATAGAAAACGCATTTGGAATACTCACTGCCAAATGGAGAATATTGAGAACGACGCTATGCATGGCCCCGAAAAATGCAGAACAAATAGTGAAAGCTTGTATTGTCTTGCATAATTTTATTAAGCTTTCGTGTGCAAACTATGTAGCAAGCGATTTTGTTGATCGCTACGAAGAGGATGCCACCATCGCTGGCTCATGGCGAAACGAAGTAGTTCCATTGCCCTCAATAAGTAGGGTGTCATCGAACCGAGGCAGTTCAAATAATTATGATTTAAGGGATGCTCTGAAGACACATCTTTTTAACAATAAAATTTAAATAATTACTACTCACTGAATATGCTTTGTTTTTATTATTTAAGATAGAAAACAAAAATTTGAACTCACAGTATGAGGGCACTTATTGGTAATGTTTTAAATGTCGTCACATCTTTCAGGTTTTTAAATTAATTTTTGTTCAAGGTAAGTATGGCGTTAACATAACATATATTTCATTCAGTCTTTTAAGTTAAAACCGTTTTAAACAGTATAGTGGTTACAAACAATATACCTTTCAGTCTTTTAATTGTTTTGTTTCTTTTTAAGGTACATACAGTGGGCAAACAAATTATAGCCCCACTATATTTGACAAGTTTTAACATATTATTTTTTAATTTTGACTTTTTTATAAAACGGAATTTTTTACACGGGCTTTGTTAAAGAATTAACTATATTTTTATGAAAAATTTACTAAAATTTAAAAAAAAATGTTAAAACTTGTCAAATATGGTGCGACTATAATTTTTTCGACCACTGTAAATATGGCGTATTTATAAAACAAAAGTGAATTACAAACAATATACTTCTTAGTCTTTTAAGTAATATGTTTCTTTTTAAGGTACTTAAGTATTGCCTATTTATAAAACAAAAGTTGTTACAAACAGTCTACTTTTTAGTATTTTAAATAATAGGGCTGTTCAGGATCTTGTCCATAGGATCTTGCATTTACATATTTCAGTGCATTTTCACTACGAAACATGCTCAATGTAAAAATTATAAAAATTGAATTTAGGAAATTTAAAAATTTAAATGACATCCAGTTTGATTTCAATTTTGCGAACTTAATATGTAATCTAATTTAATATGTAATCGAATTTAATATGCAATCTCACCGAAAATGCTTGCTACAATTTCATTGTTTCTAATCAAACACAATTGTACAATTTTTTATAAAAAAAATATCCAGGTTATTTATTTAAATGTCTCGTAACCGCGTAAGCCTCGTAAACTTGCATCGAAAACCACGCGTTTGGAATAATATCCTGAATATTTTCTTAAAAAAATGTACAATTGTGTTTGATTAGAAACAATGAAATTATAGCAAGCATTTTCTGTGAGATTGCATATTAAATTCGATTACATATTTAATTCGCAAAATCAAAATCAGATTTCATACTAAATTAGATTACATATTAAGTTCGCAAAATTGAATTCAAACTGGATGTCATTTAAATTTTTAAATTTCGTAAATTCAATTTTTATAATTTTTATATTGAGCATAGACGTATTGAAGTACGTCCATTTGAAAATCTAGGCGGCTCTCTTCTGGGACCTTCTCAAACACTTCGCCAATCGCACCCAAGAAATTGTTGTGTGTGTTTTTTTTTGACTATCCACAAACTGACTTACTTCGTTGACTAGATCGTTAAAGGCGGCGTTCTCATCGTTTTTTTTCTTTTGTCTCTTAGCCGGCGTTGGGGCAGTGGTTTCTTGCTCTTCTATTATAATGTTCCCACTCTCGCCTATTTGGAATCCAAAGGAAGTATCCAGTATATCTGGTTCTTGTCCGAGAACTTCTGGCGTTTGGGAGACGATGTTTGTTGTTGTCCTTAAAATATGTACATATAAATTACAATTTTAAATATAAATACTTGTTGTACAAATGTAAAGTACACTTACTGTCTGGGCGTGACCGTGTCTTTCAAAAACAACATAGCTTCGTAATATGGCCAAGCTCGTCTAAACGACGCAGCACTTCCGCTAGGTTGTTGATCAACCTTCAATTCTATTCCATATCGGTCTCTTAACGATTTCCATCGCTTTCGGCAGTTTTCCTCTGTAAAGTAAAAATATAGTATTCGTCACAATTATTCGTCACAAATTTGTTATAATTTGGTTCGTCCTATTACAAAACTGCTATATGTTTGAAAAACTCTATACTAACCAGGATGTCCCACAGCAGCAGCTACATTTCGCCAAGCCAAATCTTTCTTCACCCGATCGCGGTAACTAAGCTGTCTTTTGTCCCACAAGCAGTTGTGTTTTTCAATTTCTGCTATATGTTTTTCTTCGAACATCTTGCACTAAAGCTTCCGATATACCAACCAACACACAAGAATCGGATAATACAGCAGCCGGAACGATAAAAAAGTAAGGTATCTGTAAAAAATATTGTTGTTAGCAACAAATAATATTATTAATAACAAATAATTGTTTAATATAAACTCTTTTACCTCCAGTTGAATATTACGCCTTATAAACACGGGTGGAAGTGGCACAGCCAAATGAAACTTTATGAAAACCAACGAATCTGGTGGCCGGAACGATAAAAAGCAAGGTATCTGAAAAA